AAACGAAGTGGAAGAATGAATGGATAGGCAACCTAAACCTAGTTTATAGGATGGCCTTACTCATCACCACGCACCCAGGCCTTAGGTAACAGGCTCGCTTATTAGGGTCTATTTAGCCCTATATTGTCTAAGATCATATATTTCGCCCTCAGTCTCACCAAGTCACCAGTCCTCATCTTTAAGTGGTAATCAGAAGCAATAAACTGAAGTATCCATAGGACTATCTGGCCTCTTCCAAATATTTTCTTCCCCAAGTATGGCCATAGACACCTCGTCCGAACCTAGCATGGTGGGCTTACTCAGCCTAGATGACACTACCAACTCACCCCACATCACCTAGTCTTGCATTCCATAAGCCATTTTTTCAAACAAATACGAAGAAAGGAAATTTTCAAAAGATTTACCTAAGGTAACAAACGGTGTTGTGAGCAAGTCACTGGAAACTTCAAGAACATTTTCGGAATGTGAGAAATTTGTAGGAATCTTTGTGTTTGCAGAGTGAAATTACAAAATTTTATTTTCACCGAAGGTAAAGAGTTTAGACGATGAGGTAAAATCCTTTTATAGGCAGCCTCCATTGACTTATTAATCCTCACCGTTAAGATCAAATCTAAAAAATGCTCAATGACTGAGATAGAGCAGTAAGTACACAAGCTCTTAGGGTGTGTCTCCTTGAGCTTCAACAGTCGCCTGCCATGATTAATAATTATAACATAAGAAAAGCTTTTCTTGGGAGCAAGCAACGGATCATCTACTTTTCTTGGAAACATGCAACAACCTTCAAATCATTGGCATGAATTCTAATGGAAGCCTCGTCCTCTAGCTAGGACATCGCCTCTGCCATGCCACTTTTATCAAAGTTGCTATCTTCTAAAGCCTCATCCTCCAGCTAGGACATCGCATATACCATGCTAGCTTTAATCAAAGCTGTCACGTTCTAGAGTCTAGTCCATGCCACGCCAGCTTTCATTAAAGCTGCCACCTTCCAGAGTCTAGTCCTCCAGCTAGGACATTGCATCTGCTATGCCAACTTTTATCAAAGTGTCATCCTTCCAGAGCCTCATCCTCCAGCTAAGACATCTCCTCTACCACGCCAACTTTTATCAAAGCTGCCACTGTCCATAGCCTTGTCCTCTAGTAAGGAAAATCTCTGCTACACTAACCATATGTAATTCCATGCATTATATGAATATATCCATGACTGGACTTGGGGGACTGGCATGAACATCCAAAATTCAAACTTGTTGAAAAATTTGGTTCATCCAACACAAAGTCCACGCATTATATGAATATATATACATGGACTTGGGGGACTATTGTTACGCCCCTCTGATAATGAGTCACCAGGTTAAAACAAGTCCCACACTCCAAGGCACCGAAATGTCTAGACAAGATAAATCGCATAACATCCGAAGTCAATATCCGAAGTGAATGGGGTGAGCATGAACGAGGACAAGGATGCATGGCTAGAAGACACACTTTCTGATGGAAGTTAATGCTTTGGTGTGAGATACGGATCTTTTCTACAAAGATCTGTCCAAGATAAAATCTTATGAATGATGGATGTGACATCTTTGCAGCAGACACCAATGTGCAAATTTGAATTCATGCATCAAGAAACATTAAATGTCTGCCCACCTATGGAGTGATAGATGGATGTCTACGAAGAGACGCTTCGGACCAGCAGATGAAGCCATGTGTCTTCCATCCAATGGTCATCCTTTCACCCCCTCCTCTATAAATACTCATGCTTTGTGCCTTTGTAAGTTAAGGTAACTTCACTCTTAAAAATCACTATTGCCCCCTCTTGTGATATTATAGCACTTTCGACAATTCTGGCTACCGATATTAGCTACTTTTCAATTATCACAACTGACTTGATTATCAGAGTATTCGTAACCGCTACCACCGCCGTCGAAAATGGCCTCGAGCGGATGACAATTTGTGTCAAGTGTGCATGGAGTACACGTAGAGTTGCTTTCTGTAGGCCACATGGAGGTCCAGTTTCCAGGTCAACATAAGTGATTATCAGAATAGTTTTTGTGCATAAAATAGTTTTAAGACTTTTGTCATTCATTGCTAAAGATTAAAGTGTTAGTACCTTTACATATGAACAAACACATCTCATCTATGATCTTTATTTGACGTTTAACTTTTGTTCTCTTGTCTTGAAAGGGATTTGACTTGAATGCTTAACATTGTTCTTGACTTTAATTGTAAGTTCAATTTACAGTGTGATAGTCTTAATTGTGATCTCTCGGTGACGATTGATTAATTTGTAGTTGAAAGCTTTGAGAATTATAATCACTTAAATTCAATTGTTAGAAAATGATATTAAATTTTTTGTTATGATCAAAACTAT